ATGTACCTGTCTTACATGGCTAGTTTGAGTCTTTGGAGTTTCCTGTGTTTTTTAAAAACACCTTTGGTACTGCCTGATCAGTAACATATAAGGTAGTTCAATCAAACTCACAGAACTGAACTTAATAAGTGAAAAGTCTATTAGCCAAAATGGAGACCTAACAGTAAACCTCTATAATGCATCAACCTCAATTGTAAAATACAGACATCACAAGCCAAAAGAACTCCCTTAAGGTGTGAAATTAGCAGCAGCCCTCCAAATTAAGTTAGAGCACTGAATTTTTAGAGTTCTGTACTTTATAAAGTGCTAGAAAACAGACATCAAAATGCCACAAATACAAAGTTCTAGTACCTTACTTACTAACTGTGCCTGTTAGTCCAGAGAAGTGCATCTTTTATTGCTGTTCTTAGCATTCTCCCAACCCCAATAAACCATCAAATTCACACACAACTTAATATATGCAGAGTAAGGGAAAAACTTCCCAAGAACACATCTTGCTATCAATATACCCAGCTGCACCATAAAAATAACAAATACTGTGCTAATTACTTTTCTTTTTTTTTTAAAGAGAGAGAGAGAGAGAGAGAGAGAGAGAGAATTTTAATATTTATTTTTTAGTTTTCGGCGGACACAACATCTTTGTTTGTATGTGGTGCTGAGGATCGAACCCGGGTCGCACGCATGCCAGGCGAGCGCGCTACCGCTTGAGCCACATCCCCAGCCCCTTACTTTTCTTTTTAAATAAGTCTTCTAGTTATTTTCTTTGGGGACTTCTACTGACTATTTTTCAATTTAGAGTACAGCAAAATTGAGAGAAGGGGTGCAGGGAATGGGTAGGCATTTGCAAGGCCCACAGTAGGGCCTGAAAATATGCATTTTTAAACAAATACCCTGGGGCATTTTCCAACAGGAAAACCAGCAATTCTCTTTCACTCTGGACACCAAATGGATGTTCAAGAAACAATTCAATTCTGATCCTAACTAGACAGAGATAGCACAGACTCCACTCCTTAAAGACTTAGTCCCATAAGACTGCCCCCCAACAGTTACTACAAGTCCTAGGCCACCTTTACTTCTGACCAAACAGCTATAAATCAGAGGTTCCCATGATCCCTTCCCAAGGTTTGGCAATTTCCTAGAATGAGTCACAGAGCTCAGGAAAATACATTTACACTTAGGAGTTCATTATAAAGAGCACAAGTCAGGAATGACCGTGTGGAAGAGATTCATAGTATAAAGGTATGAGGGTGACTACAGTTAATAATACTGTACAACTGACCCCTGAAAAACACAGATTTGAACTGCTCAGGTGTGAAATAAAATGATTTTTGAAGGATTCTAGAACAATTTGAAAACAATTCACAGAAAGACTGCATAGCCTAGAAATACAAAAAAAAAGTTTAAACATTAGATATGTCATACAATACAGATGTCCCCATATACTTTACTATTACCTATAGGTAGTCTATTTTTATCACCTCTACCATATAATATTCATAAGCCTATTACAAAAAGTTAAAAACATTTACCAAAAATTAGTACACACATACAGAGTAAATATGGCCCCATTCTCAGTGAAGAGAAATGTAAACAAAGGTGAGGATGCAGTATTAAATCATAACTGCATGAAATTAAATTCAGTATTACTGTACTACTGTAATAATTTCATAGCTACATCCTGTTGCTATTTCGGTGAGCTCAAGTATTTTGAGTAAACACACTCTGACACTGATCCTCTACACCTGAGCAGTTCAACTTTTGGTAAATTGCAGGGAGCAGTAAAAAGTAATATCTTGAGGTTCTCATGTATTTTTCACCATATAAATAAATATAACACACAAAATGTGTTAATTCACTATGTTTTAAATGAAATTTCCAGTCAACCACAGGCTTTCAGTCAAGTTTTGGAGGAGTCAAAAATTATAGGCAGATTTTCAACTTGAGTCTACTGGATTACATATTTTAAAATACACAAATATAAAAGAATGGATTTTAAATGTTCTCACCACAAATAACCCTAAGTATTTGAGGTGACAGATGAATAAATTAGCCTAATCTGATCATTCCACAATGTATACATATATTAAAACATCACACTGTATCCCACATATGCATTATATCAAAAAAACTAAAAAAAATCATACAACTATGAAAACTGAGGCTATATTGGCAATTTGTTACAGCCACTAAAAATAAAAGCAAAACAAATATGATACACAAAAACTTCTGAGCTACTATGCTGTTTTTCTTTCATTTATCCCTAGCATCTTGTGAAATAGATATCATCACCAATTTTACAGATAAGAATGTTTAGGGTTACAAAGTTCTTAACTTCCCTATATCACTTGGCTTGTAAGTGATAGAACACAGTATTAAACCCAGACTGTTCACCCAAAGCCTACTCTCCTGTTATGCCACCTCTTTATTTTAAAAATATGAATTTGAAATTTGAATAAGACTAAATCAGGCAAAAGAAGGGAAGGCATAAAACAAACCACAGTTAACAGTGCTGCCTAGTTACCTTGGCTAAGCATATCTGGGTTCCTAATGACAAACCACTTTGCAATGGAGAAGTCAAGCACTGACAATGGAATGTTTAAAATATCTGTCAGGGGTGGATGCTTAGATTACCTTATCATAGCAAAGAGAAGGAAGTTCTAGATTAGAGAATGATTAGCTCAAACCCCAGAAGAATGAGGCAACAAGGTACATACACATAGTAAGATCTTCAACTTAAGGGACTCAGGGAGCCCTAACAAAAATTATGACATCCAGCTCATCTAATAAGACACCTAGAAGCCAGCAGGTTGATCTGGAAGTTGAGTCACATGAGGTTTAAAGAACTATATGAAATAGACCCTTTCCTTCTAAAGTAAGAACTTTCACATTCCATTGAGCTTGCAAACTGATAACTGCCCTTTAATCAAAGACTCCAGTAACTAAAGACTCTTCCAGAGTTAGTCATACAAAACAGCAAATTACTTATCATAGCATGTGCTAAGAATTAAAAAATTAATTAAAATTAAACATTTTTCCAATGTTTCCCACTCCGCACAGAAGATCCTTAGGGTGAAACAAAAATACATTCCAGGAAAGAAACTATCAGACATTTACATTTGAGTAAGAGTTAATAACAAGCAATATCCCTTACACTTGGTTTAGAGTGCCACACCAGGAGAGTACGTTTTCATGGGGGGAGGGTTAATCATGATAATTAATTTTACAGCTAAATATTCTATAGAATGATACATCTGGGGGAATGAAGCTTTGGAAAACATGCAAAATGGAATGGGCACACTAGGAGCCTGAGATCCCAGGAAACAGCCTCCCAGAAACCAGATGAAAAAAGCACTTTCCTCCACCTTCACCAATATTGAATTTAGCCCACGTCTCCTCAGGCTGCTTCTCTGCTTTGAGTATCAAATAGCTGACAGGATATCCCGATTCTGTTACCAGACTGGGGGCTCCAGGTCCTTTCTCACCTTAATGCCTACTTAAGTAGCCCTTTCCCTTCCACCTGATGCGCTATTCTGGCTCCAGAAGGCCAAAGGCAAACTGAAGCAATCCTGTTCACCAGATAAGAACTGCCACAAAACTAAGTATATGTAATTCAGTGTGCCATATATTTCTCAGGTTTCATGAAACTACTTCCTTAATAAAATCTGAAGGCTTGGTCTTTGAAATACAACCAACCAGAGTTCAAATACCAACTCTGCCACTTGATACTTAACCTATCCAAAGGCTATGGTGAAGGATAAAATGAGAATCTGTATGAAAATCACTCAGTAGGAGTTCAATAAGAAGGGAGAAGCAGAAAATCCTAGTACTCTCATTCAACAATCAAAGTTTTTTAAAAGCAATTTGCATTCTCAAAAGGTTTAAAAAGGGCTCTGTTTCTACCGTTGATCATTTTCTAGAGCAATTCTCCCCAAAAACTATTATCTAAAACCTTTTATAAAACAGATTCATCCTACTCTTTCCACTTCTGAAACCACTTCATCTGACACTTGGTTAGAAAGTACTGTACTAAGTCTCCTGAAATTCCCAACCATTCTTCCTATAAGATTCTACAGAAATTCCCCCAAACAGATAAAGACAAAGGTATATGTTGGCACATGTATTACTGCATAACTAAAACCCACCATTTTTAGTGAAAAAAGTGTCTTTTTTCACTAGGTTCTGATGGAAAGGCAGCCAAATGATTTTATTCCTTTCCACTTTCCACACTCTGCTTTTCTTTTGAACCACTCTTTTTGAATGACTACTTGGAAACGAACAGCTTCACTCAGGACATTTCCCAAGAAAGCTGTCAGATATGTAAGAACAACAAATTTTAGGTCCACCAAACAATAACAGAAGGAAGAGAAACGATGAATTTTGTTTTGTAATCCAAAACGCAAAATCAACGTATCAGAAATACACCCAGATTCTCAAGACAAAATCCATAAGCCTTCCAAAAGAATCCTGCTTGTCACTTCTTGCTATCCATTTATCAAGTCTTACGAAATACAAAAAAACAAAAAAACAAAAAAACGCTTCCAGCCTCACGGCTCTTCAGTGATCCATCGACCATTGTTCAAATGACTGCAATTTCCCGATCTGAAACTGTTTTGTTCAACAGAAATACTTAGCAGCATACATCCTCTATGCAAGCGTTAATCACGTCATTAAAACAAAGTGACAAACCATTTCTAGCCTCACCCTCAAGGGAGGATAAGCAGTAACCAGCGGAAAAGAGAACCCCAGGTTTATCATTAACACATACAAGGTTAGCAGCTGCCACCTCCACCGCGCTGGACCGGAGGAGGGATGAATGAGGCTGGCAAAGGGCGGCGGCTTGGGCACCCCGCACCCGGCAAAGGCGAGGCCAAACTCCCGGAGTGGGGTCACCCACCCCGCCCCCTGCCCCGCCCCCGCCCCGGGCTCCGCTGTAGCACTGCAGTCCCGGCGCGGAGCCCCTGGACCCTTTCTTGCCTTCCCCTCCCGGCCCCGATACGTACCCGCTTTGCAAACCGGGGCGCTCGGGCTCCTCTTCTCCGGGGAGGGGCGGCTCTGCTCCGGGGACCTCCTCCGGTGCCGGACACGGGTTGGGGGTGGAGCCGCGCTCACCTCGCCCGTCCACAGGTGGGTGGGCGACGAGCTAGGCGACGACACGGTACCCAGCAGCGGAGGCGGCGGCGGGGGCTGCGGTCTTGGGGGGCTTCCACGAGCTCCAGGCGCGGCGCCGCGCGTGGGACTGGTGCCCCGCGTGGACGTCGCGGACGCGCCCGTCTGCGTGGCCACCGTGGGGCTGGTGCGCGCGGCCGCGCTCCCGCTGCCGCGCGTGGGGCTCGTGCTGCGGGAGGCGGTGCGCGGGCCCCCGCCGCCGCTGCCGCCGCCGCCGCCGCCGCCGCCTCCTGAGGAGCCTGAGGCGCCACCGCAGCAGCCGCCGTTGTTGTTGCCGCCGCCGCCGCCGTTGCTCCGCGTGGGGCTGCCATGTTGCTGCTGCTGCTTCAGTTGGAATGGAACCGTCGCCCTCATGGGTTGCAGGCGGCTCCCAGGTCCCCCGGCCGTGTTGACTGCACCACTCCCGAGGGCACCGGCCGGCGTGGGGGACCCATTGCGCCTCACCCGCTGGGACATGGTCCCCCCTCCCCGGTGACTGGGCGAGACGAGGGGGGTTTTCTCTTGTTGGGTTGCAGGGGGAGGATTCTTGGGGCCAGAGGGAAGGTCCCCGCGACCAAGTGACGAAGCCGGACTCCGGGGCGCGGGGGGAGACTGGGCCGCCGCCGGCAGTAACGAGGTGGTGCAGCCGCCGCCGCCGTCGCTGCTCCTCATCAACAATAGTGTCTCCTCTGCTGCCCCCGCCCCCCGCGGGCGCCCATTGGTGCAGCGTCAGCCGCGCTCGAGCCGCTCCACCGCGCCCATTGGCTGCGAGCGGCTCTGGTCCCGGGCCCCCGGGGCCTTAGAGAGCCTGGGTTTGTGCGGAGACCGTCAGCTCTTTAAAGAGAAAGAGACCCGCCCCCCGGGGGTAGGGGGAGCGGAGGACGCAGGCCTCGTATGTGCGTGCGTGTGTGTGCGTGCGTGCGTGCGTGCGTGTGTGTGTGTGTGTGTATGTATGTGTACTTGTGAATGTAAGTGCGCGCCTCATCATGCCGTCTCTCCCTTACCGCTGGGGGGAGCCCTGGGACTCAAGACTCTGGAGTATTGCCAAAGGGACTGCCCAGAACCTGAGCGGTCCCCAGGGACAGTCTGAAGCCTTTCCCCCATAACTTATTTCCTTACCACAGTACTATTAACACGTACGCGTGTCTCTCTCTGGCTTTTTTTCTAAATCTTTTTGTTCTGTCCTCATTCCATCTATGGGGTAGGGCTCAAAAGAGTAAGAAATTTAATTATTCTTACTGGCATTTTATACCCTACTCTTTTTTTTTTCCTTGTCTTTTAAAAACTCTACAAAGGGCCAAATCTTGGTTAGAATGTGATTTTAGATAGTATCAATTGAGTTCAGTTACCAAATACTATTGGTTCCTCAAGTAACTCAAGTAATCAGGAATTTAAGTAACTACTTCATATTTCCCAATATCTTGGAAGGATGTCTGCTACAATTTAGTGCCTTATTTGACCTTCATAACTATTATTTGAGACAGAACTAGGACAGCCATTCATATTTTAGTTGAGTGAAGGAAACAAGTCTTTGAGATATGGGTACAGAATCCAGATGGCAGGCATTGAAGCCTGTTCTAAAATGACCTAAGGGGCTCCTCATCAAGACAAAAAAGGAAAAAGGTAGACCCACACCCTTCACAGGCATGTTCATTACTTCTTTTCTCTTTACTTCTTTATTAGATAGACATTCTAGATAGATTTTGTCCTGTAAAAATGTGGAGGTGATGGGTACTGTATAATTGGCTATAGACCTATACACCAACTGGGTCCCTATACACTGTAGCAGAAAGCCTTTGAAGACCTAGAGAAGAGATTTGGATCCCAGATCCAGCATTTACTCTGACCGTGGTCACCAGCCAGTTTCCTTATCTGTAAAATGCAGTTGAATGATATAGTCTCGTTCATACACTTCTGATAATTAACCAAGGGTTCAATGAGAATGTGGTGTATAGAAGGCAGTCAACATTTCTAGAATCTCAAATGATTCAGAGGCTCATAATTCTCCTTATCATCTATTCCCCTTTCTCTTCCTCTCTCCCCGCAACACAAAAAGAAACCCAGTCCTTAGCCCAGGAACCTGCCTTAAGTTGGCTGGTACTCTGGATAGACCTGGCATTACTACATATTCTCAACAACCTGGAGTGAAGACCAAAATAGTTGCTCACTAAAGAGGAACACAGGAAACTGCCAACAAGACCCATATACAGTACTAAGTCTGATTTTAATGAGAAGGAGAAGAGACATGTCTTTAAGTAAGAATGTTATAGATACTGTACATGGTACTTTGTCTTGCACAAAGTAGGAGCTTTATACTTACGTAATTGAGTTAAGCCAAAAGGAATCGAGCAGCTCTAGTATCCTAGGCTCTCTGTTCAGTTACTCTGAATATCACCAAACTAGAGACTGTTGATGGCAAGAAGAGGCTTTTAGCTTCTCTGAGCTAAATAACTGGTTTCTAACAGAGAAGTTTATTAGATCAAAGAGTAAAACTGTCCTTGACTCAGTCATGAGATCTGGTGGAATCGGTTCATCCTTTCCTACAGAAACTCAAATCCTAAGTGCCTTTTTCTTCTCATGTGACAGTTCAGTTTAGGGGTTATCTTTAAGCAAATAAGAAGGAACACTTCAGCTGAAGCAAGTATTAATCATTTCAGTCAATTTGTACTAAAGGATATTTGTGAGGATGTAAAAGCTTCGAAAGCATGAAATCAGTAAAGAAGGCTAAAAAAATAAAAATATAAATAAAATTTAGGAATTTGCTTGGAAATTTGGATACCTTGGAACAATTTAGTTTGTTTTTTTTAAGTTCAATAGCAATGAATAAAAGCATCATTTACTTTTGCCCTTGACTGCATTATCTGTTGTGAAAGAGTCATAGCAAACAGTGTGCATCAAGGTGACATATTGATCTTTGTTACTAGTTTATGAAGAAAGTCCTTGTATTTCAAGGATCAATGAAATAAACATGTCTTCCTCTAGTTTAACCTTGCTCATCTTAGGATATAATTCAAATTTTCCATTTTCTTTTCAAGGTTGAAATGTAACTGTATGAAGTTGTAGGCAAAAGGCAACATATAGAAATTGGTTTGTGTGTATTTAAAATTCAGAAGCGGGGCTAGGAGTGTAGCTCAGAAGTAGAGTGCTTGCCTAGCACTTGTGGGGCCCTCAGCTTAATCCCCAGTAAATAATAATAATAATAATAATAATAATAATAATAATAATATTTTGCTCCTGTATTTGCTTAACTCTTTACAATGATCATGCTGTAGGGAAGAATTTTATAGTGACAAAAGTTTATTTTCCTATAGTTTTAATAGAATCAGACATATCCTTTCATAAAAATCTCTAAAATGTGATTGAATGGAACATTATACAGTCACTAAAATGATCATTATAAAGCCATAAATTCCTCTCACTTAAAGTGGAAAAAAAACAAAATTATGTATCCATTGTAGTTGCAACAATGCAAAAATGTTTATGCATATAAAATACTAGATGATAAAATACTTGAAAATAGCCCTTTTTTTAAAAAAATTAGTTGTATATGAACACAATACCTTTATTTAGTATTTTTGTGTGGGGCAGGTGCTAGGGATCGAACCCAGTGCTTCATGGGTACTAGGCAAGCGCTCTACCACTGAGCCACAATACTAGGCCTAGATAGTCATTTTTTTTTATTAGTTGTTCAAAACATTACAAAGCTCTTGACATATCATATTTCATACATTTGACTCAAGCAGATTTTGAACTCCCATTTTTACCCCGTATACATATTGCAGATTCACATCGGTTCCACATCCACTTTTTTACATACTGCCATACTAGTGTCTGTTGTATTCTGCTGCCCTTCCTATCCTCTACTATCCCCCCTCCCCTCTCCTCCCATCTTCTCTCTCTACCCCATCTACTGTAATTCATTTCTCTCTCTTGTTTTTTT